AAATTGCCCCGTCAGTGTCCACTTATAATCTTCTTGGGTATTTGACTCCCAACTATTCTCAGAAAATGCAGCAGTTAGGGGCTAGCAAAAGAGTGCAAGTTATTGCACTCCAGGATGGAGAGGTTGTTTTGTTTTTGCACACCTAAGCCACACAACACCTGTGCACATCCTATCCCAATGTCTCACTCATCAATGGTGAGCTGCACAAGGATGCTACAGGCCACACGTGGCAACATGCAAGCAACACACTACCACCTCATGTCTTCTTTGCCCTGAGGTTTGATTCCCACATTTCTGGTTGTACGTTGAAGCCCAAACCAGGCGCTGGACTACACAAGTTCCCTATGTTGAGTTGGCCTTAGATACACTCATGCTTACTCTTTTCAAAAAAGAGTTGGTTGAAGACTGCTCTCACACACCCTAGGCCAAGCTGAACATGGCACACACACCCCAGCTATGTGGCCATTAGGTACTCATTGTAAACCATAGACAAACATTATCCGAATGTCCCTTTTTATTTGAATCCCAAATGTTTGAAAATGAGAACATGACTATGAGAAACTAGGATGCTGCTCCAGTCTACATTTCTGGTTTCCAAAATCTTTTTTCTTCTTTTGTTTCAGGGCCAAATACCAACAATCCAATTCATTTGTATACCTTCTCTTTCAGATGGGTGTGTCAGACATGCCCCCCCTAAATAAAACAACAGTTCTCCACTCACCTTCAGTAATTGATGGACCAACCTTATCTAAAATGCTCCTTCATTTTCAGAGTTAACATTTTCTCACTGTTTAAAATGAAGTATTTGTTAAAATGAGAGGGGAGGGGGCGTTGACAAACAAGAGTCCTAAAAGGACTTTTTCTTTGAAAGTTCTTTGCCATGGAAATTCTTAAGGGATATGCCTGGTAGCATTATGAAAGAGTTGTTCAAGGACAATGATGCCTCCTGCTTTTGATTTATGAAATATCATAAATGGGGTTTGTGAACCATCACCATTGTTATACAGTAACAGCGTCACAGACAAAAAGAAGAACACAGACAGAAATTTGCTACTGGAACCTAGTGAGTCACCAATCCCATCCTTTTGAATATGTATCATGAATTGATACCCCATTGACTAAGATCATGCATTCCAACTACTTAGGCTTTGCTGCTTAATCTGTAGACATCTCAGAGCTATCTGTTGGCTACAGAGGTCATGCTGAAGCTGCCTGACAGCTGGACTACATATGATTCAGTCCCATTTACGACTCCCTTGAGGGAATTCTCCCCCCTCCCTGGTTTTGCCTTAAATCTCATAAGAAAAAAGAATTGTAATTGAATCGGGAATTCCAGAGAGTCAAAACTTTCCATTTACAGTGGTACCTCGGGTTAAGTACTTAATTTGTTCAAGAGGTCCGTTCTTAACCTGTAACTGTTCTTAACCTGAAGCACCACTTTAGCTAATGGGGCCTCCTGTTGCTGCCGTGCCGCTGGAGCACAATTTCTGTTCTCATCCTGAAGCAAAGTTCTTAAGCTGAGGTACTATTTCTGGGTTAGCGGAGACTGTAACCTGAAGTGTATGTAACCTGAAGTGTTTGTAACCTGAGGTACCACTGTATGACCATGTAAGCTATAATTATTGAAGTTTTTGCTGTAGTTGACTAACCTATGCAGATTGATAATGTTGAACCAAGTGTTGACCCCCTACATTACCTCTCCTGCCCGCTTCCTTTGCTGTTGCCTTGATGTTGAAAAACAAATTCAAAGTAAATTCCTTCAAGAAGGCAAGTGTCTCGATGTACGATCAGAGCAGAGAGACACTTGTTTGGACAGAGATGGAAAGATTTATTATTGTTTAGTATGGAGGAATGGTTGTTGAAGCTATGGGAGGCAAGGCTGATATGTTTGATTGGAGAGAGGTCATTGGTGACATTCATTAATAACAATAATAGGAGAACCCCTTTTTGGACTTTTTGTGTGAAAAGGAAAATGTATGAATTTGAGATGCATGGGTCTGAAGACTGGGGAAATATTGCTTAACAGAAAGTAGAACCATTCTAGAGTGAATGTTTTGAATAATTTCTTTTATGTAACTGACAGATAGAAAATTGGAAATCCTATTTATTTTTCTCTCTCTCGTTCTTTTGTTTTCCTTTGGTGTCCTCTGCTCTGGGCCATTGGAGTCCAAGGATTACACACATATGAAGGAGGCAGGTGGATGAAAGGGCCCTGGGTGAGAGTCAAGGAAGGGAAGACCTCCCTGGATAAGAGACTGGGAGAGGAAAGGAAATCTCCCAGGTGAGAGCTGGGAGGGCCCACTACTCTCTGTGGGAGACAAAGGTTAAGAGCTACCTTTGAGAGAGGACTCTGCGTTTCCTTTTCTCTTTCTCTGTTCTTGTTCTTACCTAGATTAGTTTCTTTTAACTTGCTGTATCACAAAGAAGCTTTAGCGAAATCTTATGGAAAAAGGGCAAATTTAAATAGGAGCAGGGTTTTGGGGGTGAGCAGGGGGGAATCACTAAAACTCACAGGCATTGTACTGCTTGAGATTTCTGAAATTATAAATATGCAGACAAGATGGTTGCTAACTCCTTAAATTCTGCTAGCATGAGGGAAGGCAAGAAAGAGGGTATCCCTGAAAACCAGTTACTGGGAATACCAAGTGGGGACCGTACTGTTGCCCCCAGGTCCACCTTGTGTGGATTTACCACAGGCTACTGTGGGAACAGGATACTGGATTAGATGGGCCTTTGGCCAGATACAGTGAGACGCTTCTTAGGTTATCAGCCAAAAGGTTGGAGAGTTTCTACTCATGGCTAGGTTGCATTTTATCAAAATATAAATGTAAGAATGTTAATAATGCAGATGAAAACCAACCCCCTCACCGCCCACCCCCAGTTTATAAATGGCTGTGGTTAATACTATAAAATGCCGTGTTTCACAAACTAAGTTTTTCTGGAAATGCAGCTTATCTCCCTGGAAAAAAGGGGATATCCATGTTAATGGCATTTTTATTTTCATAGACTTGTTATAATTCCTATTACAGTGGTACCTCGGGTTACATACACTTCAGGTTACATAGGCTTCAGGTTACAAACTCCACTAACCCAGAAATAGTGCTTCAGGTTAAGAACTTTGCTTCAGGATGAGAACAGAAATCGTGCAGCAGGAGGCCCCATTAGCTAAAATGGTGCTTCAGATTAAGAACAGTTTCAGGTTAAGTACAGACCTCCGGAATGAATTAAGTACTTAACCTGAGGTACCACTGTATAGCAAAAATAATAATAATCTGGATTGTATTGCTGGTGTCTTTGGCCGCCTTCTGCTTTGAGATATCATATATGCTTTCCATGATTATTTTGTTCCGTGCTTTGATTTTGCATTTTAATACAACAATACAGGAAAAAACAAATAACGGTAGGAACTCTTGTTCACACCAATATGAGGTCACTCACCACCCAACTGGCCACAGCCCAACACAGAATTACTGTGCTTAAGCCCCTTTTAATCAATGGACTTAAGCTACATTGGATTTTTGCCACCCTCTTTGCAATATGTGAACATGCCCTGAATAGGTTTACGAGGTCAGACAGATCCCTCTGTCTCTTAACAATGCAGACGCTCCTTCCGTATACACTTAAGGCCACTCCACACAAGACGATTCCCCTGTTCTGTAAGTGGGAGGATACAATATCCTAAGCGGCTGCTGCCAAAAATGGTACCCCTGTGTTCATTTTTTCACCTCTGCTATATGTTGTCATCCTGAACCGTTATCCTGAGCACATAATAGCTGAACAGGGACGTAGAATTAGCATAATAACAGCAGGATGCAAGGAAAGTTGAGTTCCATGCTGTACGTAGATGGGGGAAAGGGAATGTGATGCTGGGCTGCTGTTTTCAGAAGCAGGCTTGCAGGGGGTGGGCGGTTGTGTGGGTGATGTGTAGTTTCACTGTGGAAAAAACCAGACACACTGTGAGTTGGGAAGTGCAGCCGTGAGTATTAATTCTGCCACATGGATTAAAAGTCTCTGTATGCACTTTGGTCGTTCTTCTGACTGAGCTTCTGTCCTTTCATACAGAGCTCTGACCGGTGAGGGCCATTGTGATGTGGTGGTTAGAGTGTCAGACTAGGACCTGGGAGATGAGGGTTCAAATCTCCACTCAGCCACGAAGTCATCTTGAGTCATCTTGAGCCAGTCACTGCCTTTCAGCCTAACCTACTTCACAGGGTTGTTGTGAGGATTAAATGAGCCTTGAGCTCCTCAGAGGAAAAGACAGGCTAGAAAAGCAATAAATGAATAAAAATTCAATAGATAAATATCAGTGTAGGGAAAATATGTGCCAATCGCACACTAAAAGATGGCTATGAATGCCAGCAAAAAACAGTGTTGTGCTTCCTTATATGATTCCCATTATAGCAATTAGGGAAGTTTTTAATGTTTGATGCTGTATTGTGTTTTTAATATTTGGTTGGAAGCCACCCAGAGTGGCTGGGGAGATGGGCGGGGTATAAATAATAAATTATTATTATTATTATTATTATTATTATTATTATTCCTTTGTCACACTGCTTGCCTCAGGAGCTGGTGCTAATGTTGATGGCACTATTGTTGTCCTTTCCCTAGAATAGTTGCAACTGGATCCTCTGCTTCAGTCAGGTTATGCACCAATAAGCAGCCATCTCCATCGGTCTGCAAGGTTTGTATGAACAGGAAGGACTGGGCAGCGCCCCGTAAAGCTGACAATATTTTTGGGAAGCCCGAGAGAACAAAAGAGTCTTTGCTGGAATCCTGAAATGCCTGCCACAAATGTGGCGCTCGCCTATGATTCTCCATCAGCTCCGCTGCCTAAAGGCAGTGTATTCCTCCGTCACTTCTTGATTGCTCTGGTCTATCATTTAGTTTTTGGCTGCAGCTTCAGATTATATTTTTGGGACTCGGGAAGAAGGGGACGGGGTGGGAGGGGGACGGGAGGGGGAGAGCCAGCCCACTGTAGAGAGAAAGAAACAGAATTGGAAAATAGAGAAGGAGGAGGAGGAGGAGGAGAAAGAGAGCCAGCCAAGCAGAAACCCAGCCCAGCAAACCTCGGAACGGTTTCCTGTTGCCTCCTTCTAAAACACTTAGATTCCTTCAGACCCTTGAGAGAGGCTGAAGTTTTCTCAGCTCCACTGCCCTGTCCTTGAGGTATGGCATCAAATCCTCCTTTTCCATTCTCTGCTCTTTCTCATTCCTCTCTGTTAATGATACTAAGCAAGCGGGTCAGTTTATCAAAGATCTAACATCGGCACCTGAATCGGTGGAGAAGGGGAGTTGTATTAATGTGTGGGAATTTTTTTTTTTTTTTTGCATTTTCTTGACTTTCCATTCTTGAGAATTTTGCTTGCTGCACCTTACTTTCCTTCCTCAGTTCGAAAGCTATTCCCACCCCTCTTATAGCTGAAGCATGTTAATAGGCTTAGTTCAATGACATTTCAGAAAGAACAGGATTTTGCTGCTTATTTCATTGCTTTTCGCTGCTCGCCATAAATATGTGTTTATTTATTGGAAGGAGATGACAGTAATTTTCAAGCAAGTCGTTACTCTGTTGCTAGGATTTCACAATTTAATTCCTCCCCTCAAAAAATAAATAATAATAATTAGGTCTGGCACATGGAATGCAGCCTGTCATTGGTCACTTCAGGTTACGAGCATCTAAGGAACTAAACTTGTCAAGAGAACGTTATCTTAGCACATTTAGCCCAACGATATTTTTCTTTCCAGAAAAAGGCCATCAAAAGAAGAAGAAAGTTGTTGTTTTCAAAGTATACTACCCCCTGCAATTGTCGTTATTTATCTCACTGATTTGCTTTTGGCAGAGTGACAGCAGTACAGAAAGAGGATGAATTTCAAGTCAGAATGTTGTGGGGTTTTGTGTGTGTGTGGTTTTTTTTTTAAATAACAACAGTGGATGCTAAAATGGATTTCATTGCCTTTAAAGGCAGCCACTACCTCCCCTGCTCTGACCCAAGAGAATAGTTCAGCTGCTCTTTTTTGGGGGGGTTCCCTCTTGGAACAGTATTTTATTCCAAAATGTTTGCCAAGAAAAAGGCAGTTAATTTTGAATTGCAGAGTGCAATCAAAGCGCCTGGAGCAGTTTAATCTGGTGCAGATAGGAAAGAGCCCTGTTGCTCTGAGCAGTCTATTTGTGTGCGTATTGGTGGGGGACGAGGGGAAATATAACAAAAATGCAATGGATTGTGACTCTGGAAGGGTGGTAAAGTTGATGGGGAGAAATTCTTATGTGTGTATGCGGAGGGGATTAAGGAAAATGCATGCACAGTCCATGAATCAGTTCAAACAAAGCCATTGTCTGCCACATAGGCAGAAGCAGGAGATTGGGGTGGGGGTGGGGAGATATCAACTTTTCAAACTTTTGCCAAGCTCCGCCTACTGGGGTGGGGGAAAGGCGCTCTTCTCTTGTATGACTCTCCCACAATGGAATGTCGGCTTCCATGGCAACCCTTTCAGGGCCTTTTGGTTCAGGAGATGCAAGGCCTTTATGGCCTGAGACGCAGAAAGGAAAAGATGTGTTCAGCTGGAACTTTTCCCCTTTGCAGAATTTTAGATGCGGAAAAGTTCAAAGGTTTCTTTTTCGAAGTGCTGCTTTCGGTTCTGAATCGCCCTTCTATGCAGCATCCAAAAAGAAGGAATGTAGAAAGACACAACAGAGCGCCTCTTGACTTCTCCCCAGTTGTCCTTAACTGACGTTGCAATCTATTATGGCAGAGAGGATCTCATAACACACACGTCTTCATGTCAGTAAAGTATTTCAGTTCACTCGCTATCATTAAAACTAGAGCTTGGCTTCTGCAGAGAATCAGCCAGGGCTCCATCGGGGACTGTGTGTTCAATGCTTGAACTCAGTTCTGGAATACATAAAGTAAAGTAAAGGAATATATCTTCTGTGCAAGTGTCTTTACCACTAACTATGGTGGTGGTGGTGGTGGTGGTAGTAGTACAGTGGTACCTTGGGTTACAAATGCTTCAGGTTACATATGCTTCAGGTTACAGACTCCACTAACCCAGAATTAGTACCTCAGGTTAAGAACTTTGCTTCAGGATGAGAACAGAAATCATGCTCTGGCGGCGCGGCAGCAGGAGGAGGCCCCATTAGCTAAAGTGGTGCTTCAGGTTAAGAACAGTTTCAGGTTAAGAATGGACCTCCGGAACGAATAAAGTACTTAACCTGAGGTACCACTGTAGTAGTAGTAGTAGTAGTAATAATAATAATTTATTTATATCCCCAGCCACTCTGGGAGGCTCCCAACAGAATATTAAAAACACGAGAAAACATCAAACATTAAAAATTTCGCTAAACAGGGTTGCCTTCAGATGTCTTCTAAAAGTCAGATAGTTGTTTATTTCCTTGACATCTGATGGGAGGGTGTTCCACAGGGCGGGTGCCACCACTGAGAAGGCCATCTGCTTAGTTCCCTGTAACTTCGCTTCTCACAGTGAGAGAACCTTCAGAAGGCCCTCGGCGCTGGACCTCAGTGTCTGGGCTGAACAATGGGGGTGGAGACGCTCCTTCAGGTATGCTGGGCCGAGGCTGTTTAGGGCTTTAAAGATCAGCACCAACACTTTGAATTGTGCTCAGAAACATACTGGGAGCCAATGTAGGTCTTTCAAGACCGGTGGTATGTGGTCTCGGCGGCCACTCCCAATCACCAGTCTAGCTGCTGGTCTGTTCCCTGCAACTCCAGATTAAGATGTAAACCTTCCAGAGCCCCAACACTGGGACAGCCACTGTTAAATGGTATAGCGAAAGAACAGCAATTATGCCCACACAGTTATTTATGTCAGCTACATTCATGCCAGCTGTTTATATCTTAAAACAAAGGGCTATGATTAAACAAACCAGCCTTTAATTAACTTTGTGCGGTACTTGATAGTTGAGGCATTCTTTATAACTTAAGAAAGTTGCTGATATCTTTTTGCACTGGAAGAGGGGTGAACTGTAGGGGTTTCACAGGTGGTGAGCATCTGGGCTTCCGTCCAGGCCAAACTTCCGGCCACTTTCCTCTTGGGACAGACTGCTGGTAGCTGACAACATGAATGCTGAGCAGCTGGCCTTGCTTTCATCATGGTGCCGCAGAATCCATAAAATAACATGACCCAAAATAACTGGAAAATTACAAGCAAAGCAAGCCTAGCTTTCCAGTGCTGGATATCTCAGACAGGACTTAGAATTTAGTCAGGTCCATCCATTCATTTATCTGTAAGCTGCCTTGAGTCCCAGTCTGAGGGGAAAGCATTACTATTATTATTATTATTATTATTATTATTAGCTACAATTGTGGCAGGGCACCACTTCTGCTGAGATACAGGACATCTCCCCAGAGGCCCATGAGATGGCACAGGGACTTCTGGAGCAATCTCTTATTTCTAGAGAAATCTAGAGAGGGCAGAGCACAACTTCCTTGTGCTACTTTTGTCTCCACAAATGCCAACAAGAAGTCAGCGCTGTCTGCACTGAAATGAACACGAGAGAATTGTTCTCTTGCTCCTTCCTTGCTGCCAGACATCCCTTTCACCAGGAAATGGAAGATCACCTCAGTACACCAGGGAGTGAAGTGAAGCTATAGCCATAGCTGTCAACATTTCCCTTTTTAAAGGGGAAATTCCCTTATTCCGAATAGGATTCCTCGCAAGAAAAGGGGAAAGTTGACAGCTATGGCTATAGCTAGTCCTTACAGGAATCCAAATGTACAACTCCTCTTAAGCCAAAGCATTTTAAGGCCCTCTTACTTGAGAGACACCGCCCCACAATGGGGAGCTGTTGTTGTCCCAACTACAGTCCCAAGCTCAGGTTTATCACCCCAATGAGAATTATGCCCCAGGCAGCACATTAAATTTCATAAAGGTGCATGTGAGTTTTCTTTCTTTCAAAAACTATTTGCTAAATCAGACTGGAAAGTATTTAGCTTGTGCAGCTAAGGACTAGCAATAAAAAGCTAGATCATAGCCCTGATATTACAGTCATATAAAACTTCTTTCCCCTTATCTTTACGGTGAAAATTACCTGCTGCTTTTCTCTGCCCTTAAGCCTTGGATATTCTGACACATATCATTTTCTCTCCAGATAAAGCCACACATTTGATACTAGGGAGCTGAATTATTGGGTAGTTCTCTTGAATGAGTTCTTAAAATGATGACACTTTATGCAGTGCTTCTGCCAGAGCAGACTAACATCGGCTTGTTTTTACAGAGGAGAAAATGAAAGGGATCTCCATTTGCTGGCAGGAAAGGGAGGACTTAATGTCTGTGCCTAACAATACAAAGTGGAGTCAGAAATGGAATCTCCATCCTGAGCTCCTTCGGGAGGAAGGACAGGATTAATAATAATGATGATGATTATGGTACCCAACCATTTCCCAAGCTTTTCTTTGCTCATTGTATTACATCTTCGTAAGCTTTTATATAGTGTGGCTTTTGAAACATGGAGTTACTAGCAGTGGCGTAACGCCCTTTGCCAGAGCCCAGAGAAGATAAGCATACATGTGTCCCAGGCTCACCCAGCCCTTGCCACTGATGTCGCCGGGCGGGTGTTCACGTGCTGTGCGGGAGCAGGGTGTGGAGGGTGCCCTTCACCATCTGCACTCCCCCGACCCCACCTGGAGTACTGTGTCCAGTTCTGGGCACCACAGTTCAAGAAGGACACTGACAAACTGGAACGTGTCCAGAGGAGGGCAACCAAAATGGTCAAAGGCCTGGAAACGATGCCTTATGAGGAACGGCTAAGGGAGCTGGGCATGTTTAGCCTGGAGAAGAGGAGGTTAAGGGGTGATATGATAGCCATGTTCAAATATATAAAAGGATGTCACATAGAGGAGGGAGAAAGGTTGTTTTCTGCTGCTCCAGAGAAGCGGACACGGAGCAATGGATCCAAACTACAAGAAAGAAGATTCCACCTAAACATTAGGAAGAACTTCCTGACAGTAAGAGCTGTTCAACAGTGGAATTTGCTGCAAAGGAGTGTGGTGGAGTCTCCTTCTTTGGAGGTCTTTAAGCAGAGGCTTGACGACCATATGTCAGGAGTGCTGTGATGGTGTTTCCTGCTTGGAAGGGGGTTGGACTCGATGGCCCTTGTGGTCTATTCCAACTCTATGATTCTATGATTCTATGACCCTATCGCCTATGGGCAA